AGGTCCTTGGATAATATGGTGAAATAACTAAATCTGTTAGAAGGCACGTAGAATTAACTACTTCTCTACTATGTCCTAGTCTGTCTAATTCGGGAATGAAGGCTTTAACATTAGGGTTTTATTGAAGTTTTTTGTGTGATTTACCGATAGTTTCTCCTAATTTGTTTTTTTTGTTTTTTTTTTTTTTACCACCATAAATCGTACTAACTGTTTATAACGAAATTAACACTCAAAACCTTCGCAAGGTTAGAGCTGCTATAATAATGGAAAGGTTAATAAGTTAACCATTGTGATATTTTTTGTGTAACTAAAATGTGTATATATATTTTTCGTGACAAATGATGTAAATAGGCGGGGAAAAAATTACGTTTTATTTATTTTTCACTTATAACTAAGTAGTGGATTTGTGTATTTCAAACCTCTTCGTGATCTTTTTCATTAACTTAGTGACAAGGTAATTACTGAACAAGTATCTTTCTCTTTGTTTCAAATAGTAAACAATATGGTACCTAAAAAAACCAGTGGGTGAAAAAAGAACTACATAATACCCAGATAAGAAGCCCCCCCCCCCCCAAGTGGCACAGCGCTATGTCTGCGGACTTACAACGCCTAATATTAAAGACAAAGTTCCACTGATCCTTTCTGTGGACTAATACCGCTAGAAACCGGGTTTCAATACCCGTGGTGGGCAGAGCACAGATAGCCCTTGTGTAGTTTTGTGCATAATTAAAAACAAACAGATAAGAAGTTCTTTTATAGGGGTAACCTATTTATAAATACTGATTTTCACCTACAGTAGTTCAGCAGTAACCTTAAGGCCTTATAATGCTTAAATCTGAGCTTCGATCCCTGCAGTGGAAACAAAACCAAATTATCTATACTATGTCACATCAGCATTCAATCACCATGAAACAATAACAACCATATAAAGTAAATGTAATCTTTATATACCAGTTTTCATATTTCATTCCTGAGAAACAAACGAAGGTAGATATTACCAGTATAATCATCGCTGTTGTTTTTTCCCGATAGGCTAATCTTTAGTTTCTGCTTCTTTTTAAGTAAGGTGACTTTCTCTTTATTTAAGGCAGTAAGCAAAAGAAAAATTGTTAAAAGGAAAGAAACAATTTTAGTAATTGTTTCATTTGTTGGGAAACGTAATTTGATTGAAAAACGTTAAGAGTATAGGAACGACAAAAACCGTTTTATTGTTCGTTTCGAAACGTAATCTACCTTCAGTTGCTTACTACAAAAAAAAGGTGAAATTATATATGAACTTAAAACGGATGGTAAATATTTTAATGTAGAACTATTTCTTTAAAGCAGTTTTAATTGTTATTTATGGTCGCTGTATCATTTATTTGAGAAAACAATTTTATGTTAAAACATCAACACACGTTAAATGTCATTAGTTCTTAAACATAAATAAATATAAGTTTATTAGCGACATTCAACATACGCCAATCAGTGTTTACCGGACGTAGATCCCTGATGTAAGTCCAAGGCTTGCTTGTTTTAGATTAAGCCATATATGACCACCGTAGGGAATCGAACCCCAGATTTAAGCATTGTAAGTCCGTAGACTTACCGCTGTACCATCGAGGGACAAGCCTAATTACCAATAAATTTAATTATTTCATTTGAAGGGTGTATTCGTCCAACATGTGATTTGATCTATAATTAAAACAATTTTATGTAAAGCTATTATAATCGCTAGGTATATAGGAAAATAAATGTTATTCTTCATTTAATAATTTACTAAGTTCTAATTATATCTTTACCTCTTTTCCTTTTTTTAGATACAAAATGGTCATTCAGCCGCCTTCTAAGTAAGTTTCACACTTATTTTATCCTAGTACGTTATGAAAATCACGACCCACCAACACTGTCTATCTGTCCATCAGTACTTTAAATATTTAAAAAGTTTAATCAACTATAAAAGCAACTTGGACATTAATATTCTTCTCATGTGCTTGTCCGCTAGATCATTCATCTATCTATCTATTCAACCCTTTATTCATGTGCTTATCCGCTCGACCATTCATTCATCTATCTGTCTATTCAACCCTTTATTTAATGCTTATCTGCTCGATCATTCATTCATCTATCTATCTATTCAACCCTTTATTCATGTGCTTACCTGCTCGATCATTCATTCATTCATCTATCTATATTCAACCCTTTATTCATGTGCTTATCCGCTCGATCATTCATTCATCTATTTATCTATTCAACCCTTTATTCATGTGCTTGTCTGCTCGATCATTCATTCATCTATCTATCTATCTATTCAACCCTTTATTCATGTGCTTATCTGTTCGATCATTCATTCATATATCTATCTATTTATCCCTGACTGTTTATTAATACATTATTTACATTATATACTCATATTCTGATACTTTTGTTAGTTTTTGTGACGTATATATGAAATATAATGTCTATTCTAGGCATATGGCTATGCACCGGCCTCCCAACGCAACTCCTCCAATATTTGAGAAACCTCCTGTCGGTGGAAACTTCGTCGATGGTGGAGATGCTCACTTTGAGTGTAAAATTCGTGGTAACCCAACCCCAGAGGTTGTTTGGTCCAGAAGAGGCATGCCGATCAAAAATGATCAAAAGTAAGTGTGCGTGCAAGTCAAACAACCCTGTGTTAGTGTCCCACGTGGTTTTCTTATGATGTAATATGTTGAACTGTAAAAATTAGAACACAATGCATTTAGAAGAACGTTGCAATAAACGTAGAACGATCCAAAGTCTAACTTCGTGATGTTTACAAACACACAGTAGTGTTAACAAATAACTAATTTCAATGACACTCAACATTGCTATGGTAAAATACAATTTCCCGCCTGAAGATAGGGGTGTGTACACGTGAAAAATAAGCCTTTTTCCGCCTGAAGATAGGGGTGTGTACACGTGAAAAATAAGCCGCATTCCGCCTGAAGATAGGGGAGTGTACACGTGAAAAATAAGCCTTTTTCCGCCTGAAGATAGGGGTGTGTACACGTGAAAAATAAGCCTCATTCCGCCTGAAGATAGGGGTGTGTACACGTGAAAAATAAGCCTCAAATTAAAAAAATTAACGTGAGGTTAGATCTATGAGTAAATTTGTATTAAACATTTGTAAAATATGTTTGTGTTTTAATCATGTTACTTATAAAAGAAAGACAAAAGGATGGGCACACAACTGATCCTAGCATCAGAGATAAACAGGTGTAAAAGTATCAGTTGACTTGCTGATCATTAAGTTAAATACACATTAAATATAAAATGAAGATGGTACTATGTTTGTAATTTGCTAAGTCTCTCAAACCTCATTTAAAATGTTTCGTTTAAAATAATTCACAAAATAATCACAGTTTTGAAAGCTGTTGAAGCTTTAATATCAATAGAAAACTGAATATATTTAGTAATGCAATAGACCAATTCTCAAGCATTTTCGGTACTTTTCACTTTCTACCCCCCCCCTCTAAATTCTTAGAACTATTTATTGTACTTTATGTACACTTAAGAATCAGACGTAGCCTATGGTTAAGGTGCCGGGCTGTAAATCCAAGGGTCCATGGTTTACGTCCCCGTAAGGTTGCGCTCTTCACTTTGAGATCGTGGGTGAGCTTTAAGAGTGACAGCTAAATCCTACCATTCCGTGAGACAATAGTAACCAAACAGTTGGCGGTGCCTGATGTTGAATAGCCGCCTTTCCTCTGGTCTACGAGTTCGAAATTAGGGACGGCTACTTGGAGAAGTCCTTTGTGTAGCTTTGCGCAGTAATTCTAAAACATGACAATTAATTGTTATCCCTATAATGGTAGGTTAGTGTTCCAATATTAATTGTAATTTAAGTTTTCAAGGCTTTAGATAATCTTTGGTCTATATAGTTTCAAAATGGCCTATTTAACCCACGGAGTATAAACTAATCCTTTTTATTTAGTTGTTGATTATTTTTTTTCGTTTCTATACAAATATATTACAATTAGGGTTAATGCTTTTACTTAACATTTCGAAATTCATAAACGAGTCGACTTTTAATATTCAAATTCTGAACATTATTTTATCATCATGACACTAGAGTGAAAATAATGCTCTGTTAAATTAAAGAATAGGGTATTTTCAGAAGTGGTTTGGTACTTTAGAAAAATATATTTCTTTTTGTCCTTTTAATTGGCTGTTTATCATGATTAAGTTACTCTTTTTTCCCCCATTTATTGTAACACCTTTGTAGTTCATCAATGTTATGAAAGAAGAAGATACAAATAGTGTCAAAAGTGTTAAATAATGCTAAAAGACTTTTCGAAAAAAGGTAGGTAAGAGTGTCAAGTCGGAATGATTTATGTCTCCTTTTTTAGCGGCACTAAAAATAGAGTAGCTGATCACGTGACGCGTGCTCTCATTTCTATTGAATTTCATGCGTGGAATGTGTAAATATGAAGACTGTTTTCACGCGTCTGTCATGTGATCTTTGAATATTTCTAAACGTTTTGATTGTTTAAACTGAATTGTAGAAGTATCATCCTACGAGGAATTGATATCATATCGTCACAAGAGAGCGGGGGTGGATATGTAACGAGAGGCTAAAATCGGACAAGGAAGTGTATTCTTATTGCGATGAGTCACGCTCCAGAAACGCCAGGGAAGAAAAACATTCAGAGCTTTATGGTTATATTTCCAGGTTAAAAACAACCTCTAGCAAGTGTGTTAAGTATCTGTGTTAGAAGCAAAAGTCGTAAAGTCTTCCCTGAAAGATGCGTCCAGCATTTTAAAATACGCACTTGTGCTCAAAATGTGCTCACACAGGTAGAACAAACTGTGCAAATAACTGAATATGTGTAAAGACAGTATGCATTCTTTTAAAAATAAATCATTTATTATAATAAAGGCTTCATAATCATAGCTTTGCAGCTAGACCCGATAAATATAACATATAATTATCAAAGCCAACAGGAACCTATATATATACAGGGTGGCCCGAAAGTATTTAAAGTAATTAAATTAAAATTAAAGTATACAGTTTATAACTGATAATGTATTTAACGGCACTTTACACAAGACATGGTGTTATGTGAAATTTAATCCCAAGTTAATACCGCAGGTGTTCAAATTGAAACCCGTCGCTGTTCACACAATCTTGGAGTCTGCCTACCACACTTCTGCAAACTTTCTGACACAAGTCCATCAAGTTCTATAAATGTGTTTGTGACGTACCCTTTAATTTCGTCAACATTCCGCGATTTCCTTCTGTACATAGGATAAAAAGTCCATAGGGGTACAGTCCAGTGACCTTGGAGGCACCTCGAGTGCGCCTTTGCGGCCTATCAACTCTGAG